GATGTCCTTTACAGTTTTGAGGGACGATCTTCTTACTGGCACATGATCTATTTCCGTTTCTTTCCCTCCACTGCTGTAGGTTACCTCCTGGGGATTCCTTTTCGCGAAGAAGGTGCTGCAGACTGCCAAGTCGTGAGCTATGGCCAGGGTAAGGACTCTCTCCTTCGTTTCTGTCTCCTACTCCTCTACCTCCATGTATCCTTTCCAGTCCCCTCCTTTCACTGCCGACGTGCACATTCAGATCACCTGCAATGGTGAGATAGTCTCTCTCTGGAACTGATCGGATGGCCTCATCAAGGCTCAGATAGAACTCATCCTTTTCGTAGACGGAGCAGCCGGCCTGAGGTGTGCACACTGATATTACTGACCAGCACGCCTCCTTCGTGTCTGTCCTCACAGCCACGATTCGACTGGTGATCTTACTGGCGGCGGAGACAGTCTTTCAGAGACTCTGCCACTGCTGTGGCCACACCATTTCGTTTGGTGTCTTCTCCGTAGAAGAGTTTGACACCCTCTCCAATTTCTCTGGCCTTTGCTCCCTTCCAGCGGGTCTCCTGAAGACATAGGACTTGGATGTTGCTGCGTTTCGTCAGACGAGCGACCTCCCGTGACTTCCCGGTAAGCGATCCCACATTTAGAGTTCCTATTCGAACTAACTTCTCTGGCCGAGGTCGTTCACTCCTCGGTAACCCTCGCATACTGTCCATATAAGCGGGGGTCCCGTGCGCTACTTCCGGGTGACGTCCTAGCTTTATCACTGATACTCTTCGAGACTTTAGACAGATTTATTGTGATTTCGACCTGATGGATTGAACTGGATCGGATTGCTCATACTTACGCGGAAAATATCTTATGTGTTTCAAAACAACATACCGTTTATGATTTCGCCACTATACTAGAAGGATATCGTCATCTACGCGAACAGAGGAATCTGGCAGTGCGTTTTCATCTCGTCCAACGTTTCAGTGCCGTTTTGAAATAAATGAGCATCAGTTCGAACGAGAAGACATGACAAGGAAGGACGACCTGCAACTACACCTCTTTCGTTCCGCAAGCACACATGGTGCCTATGCCGAGTAAGCGGGACGAATACCGGCTTAATTCATCGGCTTTTGAAAAGTGTTGTTGGCTGTTCGGTCGCACAGTCCTACTCTTTTCTGATAAGCTTCGATGATAGGAATAATTAGCTGTTCAAATACTCATCAATTTCGGACAAGGGGAATTCATCGGTTGAATAACTTTTGGACGCGACTACATCATTGTTGAGCTAATTAGAACATTGCTAGCACCAGCTAAAGCAAAATTTGCGATCCATAGGCGGGCTTTTCAATTTTTCTCCAAATTTTTCCAAATTCCCATGAATCACGCAGAAGGCGGATGCCATGTGTTGGTAAGTAACGCAACATCATGCATGACCCTGAGATCCCATTACAGATCAATACCCGCTCAGCATAACCAAGCCTCCAGTGTCGGTTACTTGGGACCGACTCTTCTGCAAGGATAAAAAGCAAGACCTGAAATCCCCTGGCCACCACAAATCATTGTGTAGGTCACCAACGTCGTCGAACGCCACCACTGCGACTCTGAATGGAACCTAAATAGGGCACGCCCCAAAAAAGGGAGTAACAGCACCAACAGCACCAAGGCCTTTATGGTTACGTAGAAGAGAGCTCGTATGAAGATCGTTTCTAGCGATTCCGTCACCGGACGAATCGGGCTGACAGGCAGCAAANAAAATAATGCAAATTGACCTACATATTGGGTGGAACTGCTCCATCACTTGACATGTTTCCTTTAAAAAGGCAATACGCGCATTAAGGTAGGCTTTACGCGTTGTTTATCAAAATGAAGCTCATAAAGGAAATAGGGATGAACATAGTTCGAGGTATATGACGCTTTTTAGCTCCAAAAAATGAAGAATAATTCAGGAAACAGATAGCGAAGTCCTACTTTTGTCCCAAATATGGGTTCCCACCGTCGACATGAGCATATATTTCAACTGAAAGCGATTGTGTCAGACAAAAAAGGATTAATGTACACCCCTAACACTGACATTGACTCTTAGCCTGAGAGTTTTTGTGAAACTGCCGCAGTTTTTGCTTGGGATTCATATCGTGTTATCAATCCCAAGCAAGAAGTGTGGCAGTTACACAAAGCCACTTCGACACCTTCGCTCCTTCAACATCTTTTCTTCGCAGCCCCTAAATTTTATATTATTAAACCTACAAAGACCTTCTTCATTTAGGTTCCTCCGTTTCCCTCTCCGCTGATGGATCCCTAGCTGGTTAATGACGATGCCACGCGACGCGACCTCATGTGGCGGATAGGAGAGTAAATTTTGAAACAATGTCACCGATATCGCCCAGAGACGCGAATGGAGTCACGGCACACCCTGTTTCAGCTGTGCTGGGCCGATTTATGGCCTATTGTAAGCTCGCAGGTGTATCGATGCATACGTGTGTGGATAGTCTGTTGGTGCGACTGCTATCGCGCACACCGGCTCAGCCGAAAGCATTAGAGTAACTGCGAAGTAACCCGTGAGCCGGTTTGGGTGCGCCTCCAATAACTAAGCCTTCTTTCAACTCTGGAATAGCTCGGAACTACCCAGTCAAACGCCGCTGCTTTGCAGCTACTCATGGTCATCTATAATATGGGAAAAACCATAAAACAAATTGGCCCAATCTCTTAAATATGAGAACGGTTCCAATACGCAACGTGGGAGGTTGGGTATGACCGCTCGGGAGAAAGTGCCGGAATTACAAGCTATATCAGCCTGCCCAAAACGAGGGCTTAGATGGGAATACTTACTTTCAATGGTCGAACGACAGCATCGGTGTATCGCAAATTTGATGATGCAAGCCAGAAAGAGAAATAGCACGTCTTTGGATTGAAAGTACGTCTCGTTTTCGGCAGCCTAATACTGTTTGAAATTTTAAAACCTTTCCCGAGCGGTCATACCCAACACCCACGTGCCTTTTGAGAACTCCTCCAGTTCTAGGAGCTAGCGACTGGTACGAAAGGACATCCCTGCTGCACGTCGCTTTTCGTAATTGTAAAAGAATAGCTCTATTGGACATGCGACAGCTGAGATATCAACGATGTCGCTGTATCGTCAAAACGCACTTGGCAGTAAACTTTGATTCGTACCCGAATCGTACTTCTGCGATTAAGAAAATCTGGCTCAACTCCAGCTTCTTGCTGCCTACGCGCCAAACTCAAGCCACGGAGGAGAGAACCTGGAAAAGGATCACCCACTATAAATTCATTGCCGTTGACTATAATGACAAGATTGGTGCGAGAAGAATGAGCTACATACCGAGACTCACGGAACGGAACGGGATCAGCTGGGTGAATAACTGTCCGAATTTATCATGTTGACCCACCAATCTCTTACACCATCCATGATAACTCACAGTTCCAGGAGCCATCTCATTTACTATAGACATGGGAGTCGCCTCATATACAGTTCCATGATAAAATAAGTCCCATCATCTTTATTTGCATTCTATCTAGGGCAAGGAAGACGACGTTCGATCAATTCCTCTTTCCGGAATTCGTCGCGACGGCCATCATTTCGACGAAAAATTGTCGGCGCCCGTCTCGATAGGATTAGACAAGAACCTCCGAAGAGCCGTCCAAAAGGTATACTAAGAAGTCTGTCTCGGTTTTTCACGCGATACCTAACGGAATGCGAACGTGCTCACCTTTTAGAAAACTAGTGAGCATGTCTCCAACTTTCTTCTTGTCTTAGAATTTCAGCGCGAAAGGCATTAGAGACGTTCTATTTCAGAGGAACCTCAAACTAAACGGTAAAAATGAGCGTCCGCCCATAACCAGGTATAAATTGCAGTACACATACCGAAATGCGACTTATGACTCAGGGGCAGAATCATTATAAGGTGATTTTTCTTATGATAAGTATATGGAAGTGGAAACGAAGTCACATTCACCACTGACATTCGCCTGTGGCGAAGGTGGGCTTCACCCGCCCGAGCAGTGGAATCTTGGTGAGTCATGCTTCAATTCGTAGGTTTCGAATCGACGTCACTTGCTGGAGGGTATAAGACGCTTCTTAGATAAAGAGCAAGTCATTTCGAGTTGCATTCAAGCCTTTCAAGAAGATGAATTACCTTGAAAGTTAGACTCTTAAACTAATAAATTGTTTCACATAAAAACCTCGCGCGGCACTAGAATACTGCGTCCACAAACAAGTATGTCGAGGTAAGAAGGAAGTTGGAGACTAATCGACGCGAGGTCAAAACTCTTCTCTCTCGTGCTCGAGGCGGTTTTGCTTTGACAGAAGGTGGTGGACACCTTGCAACCGCCAAAGTTCTTTCGATGGACAGCTCCCACGATTCACTTCCAACGAGATAGAAATTGTCTACATGCAGCCTATTGGAAGATCACCCGATGATAACATCCAGTTATCGCTCGAGTGTTTGTAATGAAGAGAAGCAATTTGTATCATATTCTTCGTTGCTGAGATGTTTCCAGCGTCTTCTGCGTGATGAGACTTGGAAAAGGATTGAGTATAGATCTAGACGGTTTTGCAACACGATTCGATTTCGATTTGATCAAAACCAACCGTTAATGGGATCATCCATCCACGTCATAAAAACCACGGTCCATCCTCACAGGAGCCACGAAGTACGCAGCGATCGAAATTGTGCACAGGTTCCGGGTCTTGACAATTCTTTTCTAATGCATTATACGTGTTGACGCAGTTGTCGTAGTTCCCAAGAGGGTAAGAGAAATACTGTCTACTAGGAGCATATGGATTATGAGTTGCAAACTTCAATCTTAATATTGACCCGACAGCTTCCGGTGAATTCCCGCGCAGTTTTAAGAAGGAACTCCACGATGTCCGATGCTGACGTAAAGTTTGCGATATTATCCGGGAATTCCTAACTGTCCTTAACCATAACAGAAAACTTCGAAACACGAATACAGTAGTCAGATTGCTCCCCTCTCGTGTAAGAATGGCTTGTCGCCCAAGTCTTCCCCAAATGTGGACAGTAGAACAGGAGGTTGAAATCTCGGCTAAACACGCGCATAAACACCCGACGCCCGACTTCGTGAGCGCCTCCTCCATCACGAGCAGATTTCTGCTTAACTCATGCGAATGTCGCAGCGTGGGAGCTTCAATAATGCCGTGTAAATGCGCTGTGGAAAGGATGGTGCTCGCAAGTACTCCTCAGAACTGCAGAAGAAAATCCGAATTTTCAGGCTTCGTCAGTGGATAAAGATCAGGGATGCCGTTGCTTACACCAAGAAATCGAAAATCAGATGGGGCGCACACTTTATGCGGTATTGTGATGACTTTTGGACTAGGGCGGTTATTGACTGGATCGTATGAGACATCAAAACAACATCAAATCTGCTAACGCAATAATCAGACTTCTTTACGAAAGATCTGAACGAAGGGAATGCTTGGTCTCGTGCCCCTCGACCGAGGCCATCTCTGGGAAACTCTGGCTCGTGCCAGGGACGATCGAAGACGTTACTGGCGCTTGCTAACAAAATCGGGAATCAATGGGACGACAGTTTATTATTCAGCCTATTGAATACTGCACCGACTTGATCAGATTCTACCCATTTAATCATGCCAGATTAAGGATAAGCAATGCATTCTAGTATACAGAAAAGCTTATCGAAACACTCTATGGAGGGACATATTCCCGACAGAATAGCAGGTAAGTTGCTGCAGTAAAGCGACTTCCACAGCACTGTTCAACGGCCTTGAGAATGACCCATTCCGCGTTTACCTTATGCTAAGCTCCATTGATAACGCTGCCGTCTGCTCTTTTTATGCATCCATTTGCCTTTTGACACCATGTTCATTGCCTTCTTTCTACAGACATGTCATGAAATCCAAATCGGGGAGTTCATCAATATATTGAGACACTATATTTATCGCTACGAATAATTAGCCTCTCAAATNCCTTTCGTAAAACAAAAAAGGCAAGAGAAACTTCAATGAAGTTATTAGAATGATGAAGTACGAAACCCATACTCTGTACTCAAAGGCGAATACACCTTAAGATCTTCCCCACATCCATTAACCGGTTCCTTGGGTGTTTCCAGCAGATGGTTTCTGGATGATCATGTTTTTTCAGTAGTTTTTCCTTTCCTTCGAAATCCGAATAAATAAAATCCACCGTACAGAATGGCAGCTATCCATATGTCCAGCCATCGGGCACCATGGCACCACAGGTAGGCATGCCACAAATAGTGACTGTACCTAGTCAAATTGTGATGCCACCACCCGTCCACTATCCACCCCTTTTGGTACATCCCGCACCGAATGTGACCTCACAACAACTTTTCTTTGAAAATCAATTCAATCAGCTGGTTGGAAAAGGTGCTGCGCAGCTCTAGCGGGAGCAACTATTTCCTGTCGAGTTTGTCTTCCGACATTGCAAACTTCCTCTCGGGCAAGTTCAGCTGAATCCAAGAATGATTGGTGAAAAAGAGCAAGGAATTATTCAGTGTGATGTATATTTAATTTAGGTGGTAATATATGAGGATAGCTACCCGCGCTGTTATGGTCATCTCACCAGTGCCACCATGGATGGAATTAACGGCAAGTTGTTCTACTCACAATTCGCAATATATTGGAAAACTTCAATCCTCAAACCATTGGGACCAAAGCTCCTGCATGTGAATGAATACTGCGATTTTGTCTTCATTGTGTACCGAAATTGGCCGTACAGAACTGTTGCACTAAAAGAATGTGTCCGCATACATGCCTTGAATAATCATTAACGAAACTCATTGTGCAAGCACAGAGTTATGAAAATGCAAAATTGAACATATGAGCTCAGAGCACTAGAGAGATTAATCGTCGACTAAGTCGTCAAAACCACAGCAAGTACAGCGCAACAAACCTATGAGCAATATTATTCTCGAGTGCATGGTGCAAAAACGGATCGCGTCAAAGAAGATGCGATATAGTATCCAACACCCGCCCGATAGCAAAAAACTATCGTTTATGTGATTACATAGCATATGCTGATGAGAGATTGAGACAGAAACCTCACCGCCATCAGCATGCACAGCTAAGCGGATAGAAGCCAGAAACACTGTGAAGAGATTTCCAAGTACGGCTTTCTGTGAACCTCGGCATAATTGTATTACTGTGTTTATTGCTTTCTTGAACTCTTCACGAGGTTTGTAAATGAGCTTTATTAAGCTGACGTTTCGGCGGGGTCGTCTTCTTCAGAGCCTGAAAGGATCATCGCAATTTGTGACTATCCGACTGAACGTCTCCACTGCCCTACTGAAGTTCGAGACCCCCAGAGCACGCAGGTGATTAAAGGAGAACCACTCACCGTAGCTTTTGTATTCCTCGAAACCACCCAGAAACCGTTGATACCAACCGACTAGCGTCAGCTGGGGTAGGTCTTTAATCAAAGTTGCTTCAGGAAGGCTAACTTTATGTGTATAGTACCGCAGCCCCCCGTGATTGCGAGGCATTCCTCCCTACGATTCACTTTTGGATCGGTGACTTGTGTCCAAAATGCCTCGAGATTTTTACGCGCGCATAGTTGCGACTCCTGTGCCACGATCTTCACGGTGACTTCAAAAACGCCTCCGTCATGCTCTCGAATTCGGTGACTCTCTAAGGCAGTAGACTCTTTCAATCGCTTCATACCATCTATGTGCCCCCTATTCCTCACGTGGAGTAGTCTTGCCGTTTCGCCAATATACTCATCAATACAATCACTGCAAGTAATCTTGTAGACCATCCCAGATATGGTTCAATCACCCTCACTGCCCGCTGGGCAGACCACGCGGTCTGAGGTTGTACAAAAGCGATCGTATAGCCTGTTCCGAACCACGCGCTTCTCTAGATTAAAAGGTGGTACGTTACAATGGCAATCGCAATTTCCAAGCCCGATCTCTTTAGACACTTCCTGATAGTGGCACTGACCTCATCAGAGATAAATGGTATAGCAAAAGGAATCTTCCCATCGATCGAGGTCCTATCATGTCTGAGTATCACGCCATAGATTATACAAACAAATAGATATCGGGATCATATGAATGGCTACTGGTCGATTGGTATCATCGGTTACTGGGTGGTTTCGGGGAGTCCAAAAGCTACGGTGAGTGGTTCTCTAATCACCTGCGTGCTCTGGGGGTCTCGAGGCAGTGGAGACGTTTGGTCGGATAGTCACGCATTGTAATGATCCTTTCAGGCTCTAAACAAGGCGACCCCGCCGAAACGGCAGCCTAGTACAGCTCGTTTACAAAACTCGTGAAGAGTTAAAGAAAACGACAAACACAGTACTACTGTGAAGAGAAACCTCTCTCAATTCCGTTGTTGTATATGTACATTATAGTACATAGACAGATTTCTCAAAAGAAACCTCAGCTTAGCATCATAGAGAAAATCCATGAAGTGATAATAAAAGCAGTTATAAGATGGTGGAACCAGAGCATT